GGGAACCTGAGAGGCTGGCGCACAGTGGGTGCCAAGGCGCCACTACGCTAATGCCTTGGCACCAGATTTTTGGGCGTCTATGCGCCCATATCAAAACTGACAAACAGAGAGCATGGCGCCTAGGTGGCAGAAACTGTCTGGGAGTTTTCAACAGTTCCTCTACACGATTTGAGAAGTTATTTGGCATAGGAGAGGAGATTTTTTGGAGACTTTGGACATCCTTCTAGAGGAGAACGAAGTGATATCTAAGAGCTTTTGCTGGAGGATAGAGTAGGAGAGCATTTGTGTGGGAATTGACGAGAATTTCAAATGTAAAGTGAGGAGAAACTTGAGGAAAGCAACAAGAGGACTAGGAAATCCTTGGGGAAGCATTTTCAGCACTTTGTAAAGGGGGAAAACTAAGTATTGTGTACTCTTGTTATTGTATTTCTGTAAAATATAATTATATAGTGGATTTGTTGTTTTCAAAGAAGCTTTGTGGTGTTTTCTCAATGCATCATGAGTAGTCTTTTTACCTTTTCTCTCGTAGTGATTAAGTAGGAAGTGAATGAATAAAAGAATACTTTTAAAATTATTTTTAAATATATAATATGATGAGTAACCTTCAAGTATTCATTTGCATTTCATTCTGGTCATGTGATTAGTTAAAATGTGTTGTGACCCATAATGACCCGGGAGAGCTATGAAAAAACAACTAGGTTATTCACATTGATCTATTGAGTATGGTGAAGTACTTTGTAGGGAGATACAAATGTTAGGGAAATAATTTTTGATGGGTTCAAATTGGGGTTTAAGGAATTAGAGCCAATTTAATTCAATTTAATCAATCTTCTTTATACACTCGGGAGAGGGTAAAGAAGAGAGTTGATCATAGTTATCACTAACCTCATTCACAATTTGCTTTTTTCATTTCCTTCACTCAACTTAGATCATTAAAAAAAGGAAGGTAGCCTTACAACTTGATTCTAACCAATCAAAATAAATAAATAGAATTTCAGTATGAGTAAACTCTTAAGAATTGTTTGTAATTCAGTAAGACTAGTTAGCACAACTTTAAACTAATTTTACTTCCAAGATACGAATAAATTTAGTATGGTAGAACTTTTCCTAAAACTTAAACACCTTGCTCCCGGTGAGTTTGATAAACTGGACTCAAAAGTCCTATATTACAAAAGTGATACTTACACTTGCATAAGGCCTCAGATTGCAAGTGCACCTAGACTTAAGTTAAGGCTACATCACATATCATTTCTACAATTTGAATAAAAATTCACTAGAATTCAAAATCTTAAACTTTCAATGATTTCAATATATCTTATGATAATACTAATAAATACATTTGATCTAGAAGAAACAAAATATTGTCATAATATAGAAACATGAATACTCACCTTGATGATAGACGATATGCTTGCTCTTGCATTACTTTTATCAAGCTATCACTTTTTATCAAGCTATCACTAATAAAATATAAAATATTCAATTATCACTTACCTAATTATGTTTTAATTTAATTATCACTTATTTTTGTATTAAACTAATTAATTAAGATACAATACTTTAAACTTTAAGTTTCATATTTTAATCAAAATTAATATAAATATTATTAATTTATACATATAAAATTAAAATATTAACCTTTCTTTAGCATCTGAATGAAATTCACATAAGTTTAACATTTATATAATAAACTTAATATATATATATATATATATATATATATTATATAATTACTTAAATAAAGAAACTTTCCCTTATAAATCTAATCACTCCACTTCGCGCATACAAAACCTTTCAACTACACACGACTCTATCCACTGTGCAAAAGAGAGCTTTCTTGCATGCGAGAGCTGAATCACAAGCATGAGATAGCTATCAAGCGCGCAAGAGCTGAATCATACACATAAGAGAGCTTCTTCCACAACATCCTCCTCTTCGACTCGTTCGACTTCGACTAGGCACCGACACCGCCACCTTCCTCCACTGATTGACAGAGATGCTACTTCCTCTTTTCGACTTGCAAGCACAGCATCCCTGGCTTGTCTCGACCTAGCACAATGAGTCTAACCACACATACGAGCTGCCACCTCCTTCAGTTATCTATTCTTCACCTTTGGCTCAATGACACGAGATCAAATGTCATAGTTTGACACTCCAAGTAAGTTGTCTGCGATGTTTTAAAGGAAAAGTTCACCTCTTTGACTTCCCAACCTCCCCTTGTTTCCTCTTCCCCTGCTTAGCTCTTTCTTTCCTCTCCCCGGGTAATAGAAACAGGAAGTTACAGCTATTGTGTGTTAACCTACCCGTCTTCTATGATACAGTTAGAAGTCCTAGATCATAAGGGATTTTAACATTTTTTCGAGTATGAATCGAAGTAAATCAAGACTAGAAAATCAATACGTTAACATATGAAATTCAAATGCAGTAAATATTTAAGGAGAAAACTCACAATAAAAACACAAGAAAAATTATCCTTACATCATAGGAATATGAATGTAGATTTAGCCACAATAAATGACATAGAAAAACAATGAAAATTTCTTTGCAAATATTAAAGAAGCAAGTGCAGGAAAATACAACTTACAACCAAGCTAAATTCTCTTTGAATGGCACCAAGCCCTTCTCGTACAATCAAAAACTCAATAATTTCCCTCACACCACAACACTCAATTTCTCTCTCACATTAAAACTCTCAAAACTTGATGCCAAAAGCACCCTAGAAATTCCCACTTCTAAGGAAGGGTTTAAAGTGGAACCCTAATTCTTGTTGTGAGAAACCTCTCCAAGCCTGCATGCCTATTTAAGGCATCCCAAATCATTTTTTTTATATCACTTGTCAAATTCACCATGCAAAAAAGGTTTCAAATCAAGACTTCAGTTGGCATTAGTGTAGCTACGTCTATGTTAGGCGTAATTGCGCCTCAAGTTGGCTTAGCTACATTTGAACCAGGTGTAGTTACATAAGAACACAGAGAGGCTAACTTAATTACACCAAAAAGTCTTGTAATTACTCTAATGTAGTGTTTTTGCCCGCTTCATGTTTTTATTATGCAACGCGTCGTTTACCCTTGTAAACTGCAATATATCAATGATATATCTTCCACAATCATAAAATCAAGATAAATAATAAAATATAATATTTAAAGCACCAAAATCACGCAAACTTACGTCTTATCATGCATACATGACGAATCAATATTCTAAGAAATAATGCTAGGATATGATAAGCCTTTAATTTTTTTTTTCTTGTAACAAGGAATTTTGTTTTTCAAAATTCTAATCTTAGCAATACATAAAATCATGATTATAAGAAGTAAAAGTACTAAATAATAAAACTTATCCATCTTTTTATAAAGGAGCAATTTCATTTCCTAATAAATTAATTTTAATATGATAAGATAAATTACTAAGAGCTTATCCAATGCATTTAAAAGTTCTTTATAAAGTTAAATATGGCTAACCACTTCCTTTATTTTTTTCTTACAAGTGCAACATAGGATTTATTTTAATTGATTGTTCTCCTTTCATTTTGCATTTTCTTATTCCATCTCTTTTTTTCTTTTTTGCATCTTTAATCTAGCAAAAATTCTGTTGTAATCTCCAAAAATAAGTACAATAAATTCATCAGAAATATTTTTCAACAAAAAACTTTTGTTTGAGAGAAAGCACTTCCAACATGTGATTTTACTATCAGCTAAAATTCCAACAAAAATTCATTACAATCGTATATTACCAGTAGATGTTGTACATTTCCAGACAAACTTTTGCAGTAGAAGACTTTCTGTACTTGTCCAATGATTTGAATGTATCATTTCCTTAATACTTTTCTTTCCCAACTTACACTGATGGTCTTACAATCAACTCCATTCACAGACAAAAGCATCTAATGTTATTTAACAATTTTGACTGCAAGCCAAAAAAAAACTATGTAATATGGCTTTGGATTAACAAATTTCGAAAGATATAACAAGAAGCTTGTAGAAATCAAATTAAAATTTATTAAGCACCAAAGGGATGAAAAACATAATGCGAAAAGATCATTCCAAACTAGATTGGTGCATCAGTTAGATCTCAAATGATTTTTAACCAAAAGATTTAGCACAATCAAGGCACACTGGGAAGTTGAGTACAAATAATATTTATATTAAAAAAAAATCAAAATCATAACTTAATCCCCTCAATGACAATTAAAATCGACCATTGCACCAAGGCTTCAAAATTAATTAAGAAAATTAATTGTCATCCTACAATAAATATCTCAATTATCATCTCAGGGTTGTCGAGAAGCTCGTGACATTTGAGCAATAAGAGAACATTCATAATTTTACCGACTTATGAGCTCTATCTGGCTCCTTTTTTCTTTCTTTTCTTCCTTTTACAAAGATATCAAGCTTTTACAAAGGAATGCTGCATTCCTCACTTCTTTGTCTCCGTCCGTTTGTTAGCTCCTCTCCTCCGTGCACTTTAAAAAAATCCTCTTTCTTTTCTTCCTTTTACAAAGATATCAAGCTTTTAAAAAGGAATGCTGCATTCCTCACTTCTTTGTCTCCATCCGTTTGTTTAGCTCCTCCCCTCCGTGCACTTTGAAAAAATCCTCGAGTGTCATAATTCTGATTTATTAACATCATGCAAAAACGTTGAGGTATCCATTAATAGAAATATTAATTGTTTCGCACTATAGCAAATATGTCTCCACAACAGTTCTTCCAAATTTCTGCTGAATATCCTTTGGAGTTTCAATCTGCGCAAGCAAAGGTTGTCACACCATTAGAATTCTAAAACAAATGACTGTTCTTCGATTAATTAAACCGGTATAGCATTATGTCTTACAGCATTTAGTGCGATAAAAAGAGCCTTTATGACATTCAGCGGATTTCTTGAGCCAATGATCTGAAAATTGGATCAAAAAATTTAAGGAGCTTAGCATAAAAATCACTCTTGAAAGACATTCGACATTCACTGATCAATGGAGAAATTTGAATCAGGATATCCTAACTCAAATATTATCAAATTATGATCATCAGAATTACTTTAGATGAGCGAAATTTAAATTTAATATATCAAAATTTAAATCACACTCATCAAAGAAAAATAATGGCTATAAGGCTCATCCTAATAACATTTGAGCGAGGAGATCAAGACCCAAAACTTTTCCCAAATATATTTATTTGCAGCACCCACCTTAGACTTCACATTGCAAAAACCTGCCAAATACAAGACGGTTTCAACCGTTTTGACGGCTGCTGACATGCCACTTCTCCTTGGACCGGGCCAGAGGTATAGCTAAGCGGTTCAAACAAATTATGGAAAAAAATGTGATGATGCCATAAAAAATATAGAAGCTGGACATGATCAAATGTACCTTCGTTTTCTCATACTTGGACTGAATTGCATGAGCAATAGTATGTTCCTCATATCGCTCTACATAATGAAGATTCTGGAAACATTTCTCGTATGCCTGTATTTCACAAAGACAATATAAAATCTTCTCCAAAAACAATGTATTCCAACAATCGGCTTTCCCACTTGGAATAATTGTAACTGCTTATAACTTGCCATTTTAACAAAAATAAAATAAAATAAACCAGAGTCCCCCTTTATCCACAACCTGCCGTCATATAAGCCAAATAGAATAACTTGCCATTTTAACAAAAATCAAATAAAATAAACTAGAGTCCTCCATCCACAACCTGCCGTCATATAAGCCAACTAGAACAATGAATAGCAACTTAAATCCTTTGCAATGGAGGCCCCATTGTGATTAGTGAGATAACTTTCCTATAGCCACAGTAGTGATTTTACTGGATAAAACTCAAACGAATTAATTTTATATTCAATAAAAATGACCAATTTTATCCCAAACTATATGAGTGTGTTCATTTTGACCCTAGCTTTTCTTGTTCTTCAATTTAGCAAAGAGTCAAGGAGAGAGGTCAAAAGAATAGCGTTAAAGGGGCAAGAGAATCAAATTTTAATAAGTTGACGGACCAAATTCGTAAATAAAATATTTTTAGGGTTAAAATGAACACATTCTAAATAGTTTGGAGACACACGTTACTCGTCATATTTGATACCTGAAAGAAAAAGCTTTTTAAAAGAACCTGTATTACTTCTGCCGAGTTCATGCAGAAGACAATGGGGAAACTCATCATTCAATAAAAGTTAAGATTATGAAACATAAATCCACACAAATGAGAGATAGCAGCAATTAAGACACCCTGCTGTTCTTAATGTGATTAGCTACAACCAAGAATACCATTAGGACTTAAATTTTGATCCTACTCTAACTCTAGTGATATTAGCCTCTCCGCATGGAGCAGTGTGGTGGTGACGCAACTGAGTTGAGATAAAGAGAAACTTAAGCACTGGGCAACAGCTCAAATGTGATGAGCTCAAAATGAGTACAGCCCACAATTAAGGTTCATGCTGTGCTCATTGCAAGCTTGAGAAGTTAGCAAAGAAGACCATGCAAAGCATATTTTATTCTAATAAGCTTTGAGCCAAAATTGATCATGGTCAAGTTTAAGAAAATATGGCTTAAGCTTTTTTTTTTAGTTTCTCATAAAGCTGTCAAAACAAAGCTTTACAGAACCTAACTACAATAATGTTAACCAAGCAAGCAGATAAGCTCGTTATGATCATAAAGGTTACTGATGGTTCATAAATTTTGATGTCTGGCATGCTTTAAATCTTTCTAAAATCCTAATCATCCGCATAATCATTATGAATATTGAGGTTTTAACTCGCTAGTTTACTTGCAAATGAACCATAAATTATGTGACTGAAGGAAAACATTTATCAAAAAAATTTTTAATTTTTTTTAATACATTTTGTGTCAAAACGCATCTCTAAAAAACAGGTCAAAAGATCTGTTGTGCACTAATGAGCCTGTAGAGATGAGCAAAACGTCAAGGCTCTAGAAGTGAAGGGCAGAAATGATGTTCGCGGGTGAGCTTTAGGAGAGACGAGCAAGGAAAAGGCTATTGATCTTCGGTTTAATGTTTACCAACTATTCTGAAATTTAGAGTGGGGAGTGGCACGAGATTTGGAGTACAGCGGTAGGTGTACCAAAAAGTAGTATAGATTAAATTAGTTTGGCCTAATTTGGAAGTTCACCTTGAGGAATGAGCTTTAGGTGGGACATATGGCTGAAAAGGCTTGTTAAATATTACCTATTGTGGCATAGTTATGATCTAAAGCAAATGACTAGATTTAATTGAGTTAAGATGGGTGTCAAGGAATAGAGAATAAGACTAACTCCTAGTCTAACCTAGTTTGAATGAAAGCAATAGATGGAAATTTACTGAATTTGAGACCTGTGTCAAGCCGTGGCTAATTTTGGAGTAGGCTTAGGATGTGGAGAGTAGTACTAAGATGATTTAAAGGTGTTTATGCGAGTAGAAAATATAAATAAAAAGAAAAGTATAAGTATCAGATCATACCAAAAATTAAAGCTTATAGACCACTAAGCTCTAAGCAAAATGAAGAAAGTATTCTCACTAAAATATTTCATTCTTCATGAAAAATAAATTACAGATTATGTCCTATTTATAAGCAAAAATAGCCCATAAGCTTCCACATTTTGGAAAGAAAAATTAAACAAAAGAGAAAATAAAAGTAGCTGACCATCAATAAATTCAACAACAACAACAAAACCTTTATCCCACTAAGTGGGGTCGGCTACATGAACTTTTTCTCTATTCTGTTGTATTTATTATCAAAGTTTCATTTAATTCTAATAAATTAAGATCATTTTTTATACAATATGCTCAAGTCTTCCTAGGTCTACCTCTGTCTTTCTTAACGTAAGTCGAATCTAAAATATCTACTCTTCTAATCGAATCATCAGATGGTTGACGTTCAATATGACCAAGTCATATAAGACGACTCTCTCTAATTTTGCCTGTCACTGGAGCTACACCAACCCTATCACCCTATCACGGATATAAATAATCATTTCACATTTTGTCTCGAAGTGTAAAGCCACTCATCCACGTAATCATTCTCATCTCGGCAACACTTAGTTTTATGCTTCTCTTTTAAAGACCAACATTCAGCGCCATTCAACACCATAAATAAATTCATCGATAATTTAAGAGAAATTCTAAAATAAAGTTACATTTGAATAATTTAAGAGAAATTCTAAAATAGTCCTCTCACTATCAAAAAATGACCAATTAAGTACCAGAGTTTTAAAGTGCTCCTAATTAGGCCCAAACTACTAAAAATTTATCCAAATTAATTCCTAGGCTAAATTTCATAGGTCAAAATTGATCCAAATTAGTCTTAATTTTAACATCAACAGCTAACATTGATGGTATTTTAGGAATAAAAATTTTAAATGAAACTTTTTTTATTATTACTCCATTTTCACATGAATAAAATATTTCTCTATTATGTAATTAAGTATTTTATTATTACTCTATCTTTTAAATAATAAATTATTTCTACTTTGAGCCTATATTGATTCTATCGATAAGTATTATATTCCTCAAAAACTAATGACTTATTTACTACATGAAATAAAGATTTACTCTTTCATAAATTTAAATATTTGATTACATATGAAAATAAAATAATAACAAAAATAAAATTTCATGTAAAATTCTTATTCCTAAAATACCTTCAAAGTTAATGGTTGGTATTAAGTTAACTATGAAATTCACAATATGATCTAAATTGGATCAATTTTTAATAGTCTCGAACTAAAAGGGGCACTTTAAAACTACAAGGCAAAATTAGTCACTTGTTGATACTCATAAGACATTTTCTGGCTTTTGCTCAATTATTTAAACTTGGTGTCTTCTGATAAGCTTTGAAATGGGCTCCTGTTTATGGGCTTGTTAATGCATGTGCTTTTGCTCTTGCTTTTACAGAGGCTAAGCTGATTAAAATTTCTATTTGATATGCATCATTAGGCTCAATTGAAGTCTCCCTCGTAGAGCTAAAATCCCAAAAATCATCAACAAATTATGGTGGAGACTACAAGTCAGTGTGAACTAGCCAAGCGTCGTATGCAGATGGCTTATTCTTCTAATAGACTAAAAATTGAAGCTCAACAACAAGATAAATAAGTAATTCCAGTTGTAAGGTGGTAAACTTGTTGGAATGAGGGATTTTACAAATTAGAATCTATAACTTCTATAAAAAAACAAACTGAACAAATGAAGATTTGTTAACTTCTTTATATAATAGGATATATGTAATATTAATAATATGATGAGTTAATAAGTTAATATACCCACAAACAAATCTAAATGCTAAACATTAAATGTAATTTTTCTCAGAACTTTAAATAGTCATTGACTCTTACATGAAATTTTTAAACTTAGTGGTGTTATATCTCACTCGAGGATGCAAATAAATATATAGCCTCCTTTAAATTCCTTTATTAACTTATTATTCTTCGCCATAGATGCCTTGTTGTCATTACTCATAATAATTCACTTTTTTATAGTATCATGCAGGGTTTATAATTTTTTTACAAATAAAAAAATAAAATAAGAGAGTGTATGAGATAAGATGTTGGCTATATCAAAAGATAGTCTAGATTTCTGATCATATACTGTTTCCAAAGATGAGGTCTTAGTTGGTTTATAAATAATACTATCATATGTAAATTTAGATGTAGAATACAAGCTCCAATCTCTTAAATTTTTTTTCCTACAAGGAAAGTAGCAGGTTTGTAAGTTTACTTAACTACCATAACTTGGATTAATTTCTAATATTTTTTTATAGAACCTTCCAATAAATATGAAATATATCGAACATCACGATCATACACAATAGTTGAAGGTGAACAGTATATATAAATTTCCTTAAAGAATAGTTTAATAACATAAAGTTCTTAGTTTTTGACGATAAAAAAAATAATCATTTTAAAAAATCAACCACATAAGTATGTTGTCATGTCTTCAAGCTATGCGTGATAATTCTATGATAAAAGTCATTGAAAGATCTTTCCAATGCCTAAGAGAAATGAGCAAAATAATATACTGAGCAAACATTTGTTTGATGGCTTAGGCTTATTTATAAATCGTCTATTGGGCTACCGATTTTTTAACATCTCAATTGAGTAAATGCCAATAAAACTGATTTTTCATTAAACAGATAATTATCTTTTCTAAAAGTTACAACTATTCCTTTAGAATGCAATTCAGAGTTTATAAATTCCCCTAGTAAAAGTCTATGTATACAAAATTGTTTTTCTTTATATGAATATGCATTGATAATGTTGAAAGATCCCATAAATAATTATGATTATATTTCATATTTGTTATAATTCTATATTTAGAGGGTTATAAATTATATGAGGGATCTTAGGAATCTCTATTTATTTAGTTGCCCCTTATATTTGTTATTATTCGTTTCCTTGTCTACTATATTTTGTTTTTATTGTTTCCTTACCAATAAGTCCTGTAATGAGTATTTATATCCCTCTTGGCATCAAAAAGAATA